GCTCTCCCTGTCAGCATCTGCTCTCTGCTGTTGTGTGACACGGAGACGGGCAAGATGGACCTGGGCTCTGCCCGGTCCCATAGGATGCTCCTTGTTAGGAGGCTGCTGGAGGGATGGAGATACGAAGCCCCCTCAAGCTGGGTAGAGGTAGCTGAAAAGCCATCTCTGATGTCCGTCTTTCTAGTAGCTATGGGGAGGCGGGTGTCTCCTCCATTGGGTATTGCCCCTGGCTCTGTTCCCAGTGGGGGCAGATGACAGGACAAGGAGCAATGGGCTCAAGCTGCAGCAAGGGAAGTTGAGGTTGGATATCAGTAAAACATTTCTCCCTAGGAGGGTGGTGAAGCCCTGGAGCAGGTTACCCAGAGGTGGTGGACTCTCCATCCTTGGAGGTTGTTAAGAGCCAGGTGGACCAAGCCCTGGCTGGGATGATGTAGTCGGGGCTGGTCCTGCTGGGACTAGATGTGACCTCCCGAGGTCCCTTCCAACCCTCCTTTCCTCTGATTTTATCATCTCGGGCCACGTGCGCATGTGTGGGTGCACGGCAGGGAGGTGGCAGGCAGGGCCGGCCATGCGGTCCGGTAAATCGAAGGGCTTTGTGTGCAGAAACAGGAAAGACCGAAACGAGAGGGGGAAATGCAGCCCTCTGCGTGTGTACAGTAAACAGGAGCAAGAGAAGAGGAAGCCGATATCCAAAGCCAGGTAGAGGGTGGCGGAGGGGGAAACATCCATGGTTTGCGATAAGGAAGGAAGGCATGAATCAGCCAGGGGAAGCCAGGAAAGAGAGGGAGACGAGACAAAAACAAGGGAGATGGAGCACGCCGCGGCCCTCGAGCTCCCCGGCCGGCTGGGCACGCGGATGGCGAGGTGAGCTGCGGCCGCCCGGGTAATTTTCTCCTTGGCCGGGGGGCTTCCTTCCTGGGCTAATTGCTTTCACCCAAATCCTACCTATTCCCAGTGCTTTCCTTCTGCCCCTGGCAGCTTTCGGGGGCCGGGCTTGTTCGAGGCGCCATTCACTTTTCTGGTATTTACATCTCGCTTCCCGCCCCCGCGGGTTTTCCTGGGGCAGGCGGGTATTCGCCGTCTCCTCCACCCCCTCCAGCCACGCCATAAACTGATGGCCCCGATCGTGTCTGGCGCCAGCTTTTACACCGTTAACTTTGTCGCATCATCTCAGATTAATGGAAGTTTTTACAATCGCTGTAATTTAAAAAAAAAAAAAAAGAAATCCTCCCTTGTTATCAAAAGGAGGAGGGGGAAGGCGAGCGGGAAGGAGGGAGGCAGAGGGAGAATAGTTAATCGTCTAAGCGGAGTATCTTGGAACTGAGCGGTTTTGGGCTCATCACCTCTCTGTAAAGCCAGCCTCAGTAATTCAGTTTTAAAGCATGAAAAAAGGGAGTTGATGAAATTCCGCTATCAGCACTGAACCAATATGCAAAATATCTCGCCGAGAATCAAATAGCTATTATGTTTTCATTTCCATTTCAGCGTATTTGCTTAATGAAGAATAGACAGATCAGGCAAGCTGAGGGAGTCTGCGTGAGGTGATAACTCTGCAAGGCTTCCAGCAATCCCAGAGAAATGACGCTCCACTCACTGCTTCGCCTCTTCTCTCCCTCTCCCTCTCTCCTCTCCTCTTTTTTTTTTTTTTTCAAAAAAAAAAATATCCAGTAGCTCATTTAACCCACACGGCTGGGAACATTTTCTGCCGGTGCTTTCCAATGGCTGGAAACCTCGTCGGGACAAAGGATGCCCGCATGTGCCACGGGGTGGGCGTGTGGCGGGCAGAGGCAGGTCGGGGAAAGGGTTCGCCGGCGAGATTTGGACACAGAAAGCGAGGCCTGCGGGTAGCGGCTGTCAGCGGCTTTCTCCCCCCTGCCTTGCCTTGATCCGTGCTCTGCATTTAGGTCCAGCAGAGACAGGGATGCACTGTCTTCTTAAGCATCTGTGCCACTGGCTGCAGGGATGCCCAGTGCTGGCGGTCAGTGGGTGATGCCATGCGACGGGGCAGGGTGAGGTCTTCGGGGAAGCCCCTGTTGCATTTCATGAGGTTTAATGGACCGGGGATTTCTGTGGTCAAAGGCACATCCTTCCCCTCTGCCATGAGGTTTTGGGTATCACAGGATTCGTTCTTGCCTCCCAGGTTGGTGATCTGTCTCCTAATGTCTCTGCATAGCGGTGCCAGCTGGTTGGCATCCACTACGGAGGCTTCCTGGAAGCCCACGTTTTCCCCGGGAGGTCTCCAGGGAGGAGAAGCCGTCCCCTGTTTCCAGGACTGCCCGGCTCCCTCGTGTGTGTCCAGCTCACCCCTGCAGCCATGGGCTGTGTGCTCCGTTGGCACAGGTGCCAGCTGCGTGGCACCCAGCAGCTGCCCAGTGCACGTGACCGATCTCAGGCCCGGCTCTGCCTGGCTTTTCCAGGTATCCCCAGGCCGGTCGTGTGCTTTGCATGTGCTTTGCCTGCGTCTCACGGGCTGGATGCAGAGGCAGAGAAGAAAACCCTGGTCTAATCCATGTGGAAGGAGCAGGCTACAGGTAACACCTGGCTGACTCCACCCAGCTGGATTGATTTGGAGAGCTCGGTCGAAATCCCGTCCCTATCGTGCAAGGTGCTGTATAAGTGCGTGGGAGGACGGCCTTTCTCCATGCAAAATTTCCGGGATCCAGGACTCACTGGGGGACACGGGCAAGTACAGACAGCCTTGGGCTGTCTCGGGCACGACAGTAGCTAGCCAAGGAGGCGGGGGTCCCGGGTCTCCCTGTCCCCGTCCAGCCCTCTGTGGACGCAGCCAGCCTTCCCTGCCCAGAAAGCGGGGAGCAGAGAGAGGGGAAGAGGCGAGAAGGGGGTTAACTTTATCACAAACCCAAGAGCCGTGAAGGCGTGAAAGAAAAAATTAGCCTAACAATGTTTCATTTACAGCGAGAGGAACGATTTGTTAGCCGCCGATTGTTTCTGAATATTATCAGAGTCTTTTTAATTGTGCTGGAACTGAAATTAGCAGAATTAGAATAAATTGCCTTTCCTTCTCTGGCAGCCTCTTTATTCACGCTCATTGTTGTCTGCTTTGTATAGATTATGGGGCCTTTGTTCTCGCGGTGTAAATATACATGCCTGGAGTCAGAGAGCGGCTGAGGTCTGGAGCAGCGTGGCACGGCGCGGGGTCCTTTCCCCGGCCCGGCGCTTTTGGCGGGAGCAGCTCGCTGTATCGGGAGGCGGGCGGCTCGGTGCGATGGGCGGTTCTCCGGGACTCTGTTTGATCGCGGTTGTGCACCAGCCCCGGGTGCTGGATCGCTCCTCCGCCTCCCCTTGCGTGGCTCGGTGTCATTAGGGGCCGCCGTGCCTTTAGGCTGGCTCTGGGAGACTGCTTTCGGGGCAACTGGGCTGTTCTTTAGGTGATACTGCTGCAGGCTGGGGAAGTAGGGCCCAGCGTGTGACCCGCGGGGCACGACGGACCCCCTGCCAGTAGAGCGGCAGAGCGTCTTCGCCTCGGTGCTGCTGGGGGAGCGGGCTCAAGGGGGTCGCTGAGCCCCCAGGCGTGGTCCCCGGATGCTGGGGAGCTGGCCTGTGCTCCATTTTGGCTTTGGGACACCTTTCTCCAGGGCTGGAAGCATTTGGTGTTTCCTGCGGGCGAGGAGCATCTGCAACCTGCCACGGGGATGCGCCTGGCGTGGCAGCAGTGGTTCTGGCTGGTGGGGCTGCACAGGGGAGCTGACACTGGACATATGGTGCCATCCAGCTGAGCTCTGGAGACCCCAAAGGCAAAGCTCCCTGCTCTTCGGGGGGAGCTCAGTGGGTGTGCAATGCACAGTGAGCATGTGCCACGTCTCCCTCCCTTGCCGTGTCCCAGCTACAGGTCCTGCCTCCAGCTCTGGGGCCCTGCTTCACTGCCCAGCTCCTGCTCAAATATGCATGACCAGGGTGCGTGCCCGCTTGCCTCCGCGTGACTGTGAGCCGCGTGAGGGCAGAGGGTGCACCGTGCAGCTGCCTGGAGCCAGCTTGGTGCTCACAGTCTGCTGCAGTGACTCGGCCGCTATGCCCCCCTTTGATGCCAGGGTGGCTGCAGCACGGCCAGGCCCCTCCAGTCTGCATAGCCCAGCCCAGCAAACACCCACGATGCAGGCAGCAGTGACCTTGGCAGGCTCCTGGCAAACCAGCCTGCTCCACCGGGACCGTGCATTGCAACCAGGTGGGGAACTGTGACGCCCTGGGGCTGTGGGGGGAGAGGCACCCTCTCCTGTCCATCCCTTGGGGCAGGGGCTACAGCCTGTCCCCAAGAGCACAGAGGTTCGTGCCAGCAGCATCCCTAGGGAACTTTATCCAGCCTGTTTCTTGATTGCCTTCTTTCTAGCCACCCCCTTCCCAACGCTGAGCTGCCCACATAAATCTGCCCCTGAACTGATTGCATGTCTGGAGAGCACCATTTACAAGGCGCAGCAAAGTTTTGCAGCTTCCGTATGCTCCTTTCCGTAGCCCGTGATTACAGCCACCAGTGGCACTTGTAAATGTGGCTGGAAAGCCAGCCTAGCTCTGTGCATGATCACTCGGTGCGAGCTGGGACGAGGAGAGGGTCTCCCCTGCATCCAGTCATGTCATTGAAGGAAACAGGTTTCCTCTTGGCTGCTGGTGAGTGCAGGCGGTGGGTGTTGAGGGTTGAATCTGTGTGACTCCCTTCTCCTGTCTTTTAGCTCCTTCTGCACCTCCTGTGACCCTCCAGTTATGAGACCAAGGGATTATCCTCATGGGCAGGGGCTTGGAGACCCCCCTGTGCCCCTGAGCTACCAATCCCACAGCCTGGGGGGAGAGTGGCAGGACTCCTGGGTCCTTTTTCTAGCTCTCTTTCCTGGCTTCCCTGCATGGTGCTTTAATGTGGCCGGCTGCAAGGTGCATTGCGAGACTCAACCGCTCGGGCAGCCTTTGGGGTCCTGGAGCAGAGGCCAAATGCAGCGATGGAGGCACAGGAGCTGTTTCGTGTCGCCTCACCCGGCCTCTCCCGTGTCTTGCAGGGTCCTTCGGAGACATGGAAGAAGGAGAAGACGCCCCAGCAGAGGAGAAGAGCCCGTCGGAGCGGGAGGCCGGTGCCTCGGACCATGAGAGCTCTGCGGATTGCGAGGCCTCGAGCCCTCCGTGCAGCGAAGGTACGTCGCGTGGCATCCCGGGTCGCTCTCCGTGGGATGGGGAGTAACACTGTCCCCCTCTCCCCTGTATCCTCCCCTGCCTGGCAGTTCGCTGCCTCTCTATTCTCCAAGCCCCTTGGCATCCCTGGGCCCTCCTCATAGAGCGAGGGAAGCCAGGGGTCAGCCCAGGCTTTGCCCCTACCATGCTCAGAGCAGCGTGAAGCAGGGCTGCTGCTTCGCCAGGACAATGCATTGGCAGGCGCGTCCCAGCTCTGCAACCCGAGAGCCGCGGTCCCTCTTGGGCTCATTGCTCTCGGACTCGACTTGGCTGGAAGTTGGGGCTCCCCTGGCCGGAGAAATGCCGTGGGAAAGTGCTGCTTGCAGAGGAAGCTGGAGTGCCTGGCATTGCCCTTCTCCAGGACCTAAAGCTTTCAACAAGCCCAGAGCTGTCTTCAACCTGGGCATCCTACAGCATTGCTCTGAGCCAAGCGAAGTGAAGCCGCCAGTGCCCCGGCCTGCCAGTGCTAGCCCCCGTGTGCCTCTGTGGCCACCATCCTGCACCGAGGCTGCAATGCATTTGCCCCAGGTCAATTCGGTGCCTCCTCTCGGCCACCTCCCAGCTCCAGAGAGATGCAGCATGGGGGCAGCTCCCAGGACAGCATCTGTCCCCTGGCTTTGACCGGCTCAGTCATCCAGACACCTCACCTCTGCCCTGGTTCCTTGCTGCCCAGCAAAGGGAAATCCCTGCCCAGCACAGCCTCTCCCTGTTGCTTGTCAGTCGGTGAGAAAGGCAAGCTGAGCTGGCCGTTCGGGGAGGAAGGGGGGAGCCTGGGGCTGCCGGGAGCAGCATGCTGGCACAGCGGAAACCAGAGGCGTGATCCTCGCCGGTGCCTGCTCCTCACCACGTATCCGTTTTGGCTCTTTGAACCATCCCCATGCAGCCAGCAGCCACCTGGGCCTTGTGTGAGCAAGCAGGGGAGTGAGGGGGCTTCTCCCTTTGGGATGGGGAATGGGGTCCCGGGAAGGCTTTGCACGCTGTACACGGTGACCTGGCATCAGAAGCCGTCTCCTGTGCATCCCATTGAATGCCACCACCTCGTTCCCAGCAGTCCCAGAACCGCCATGCGGCGTCACACCCCAGAAGCAGCTGCATCCCAGCTCCAAGCTGAGCCCAGATGCCCCTCTGGTCCCAGATGGATATTGGAGGCGCCCTGCCCGGCCCGGACCCCGCCTCGCCCGTGGCACTTCCCGGCCCCACCCTGGCGTTCTCCCCCAACATCCGCCCTTCCTGTGGGGGCGTGGGCTCCCGGAGACCGATCCCACAGGAGGATTGTGGCCTCTGACCTCTTGCCTAGCAGTCAATAAGCTCTGCCGAGCTGGGCCCCGAGATAAAGCTCTGCGGGACGGGGCCTTGAGCAAAGGGAGCGCAACATTAATCACCCGATAATCTCCCTGGATAAGGGGCAGCTCAGGCTGGAGGAGCACCAGCTGCTCCCAGCTGCAGGAGTTTCTCCCTGACCCTCGGTCTCTTCCACCTTGGCCCCGTGGCTGCATGTGCCTCTCACCAGTCCCCGAAGAGCCACGGGTGCTGCGGTGGCCCCGGGGACTAGTAGAAGCAGTTTAAAGAGGCTCAATGGCTTGTCGCTGGCAGACTTTGCTCCCACCCGCTTCCCCAGCCGGGTTGAAAAAGGAAGCTAGCTTTTTTATTTTCATTTTTATCTGATTTGGGATCTCGTGGCCGTCCGGGGTGGGGGCTTAGGGAGCTGGAAAGTCAGCTGGAGAGCTGCACCTGGCACCAGCCTGCTTTTGATAAAAAGGTGATAGCGCCGATAACACGGAGCAGCAATAACGGCCGCGAAGGCTTTCAGCGCGATGGATAAAAATCAATATGCCAGGCACTTTGATTTATAGCCAAAAATAATAGGACTTTTATACCCGGTGATTGATTTATTTGATGTTAATCATCCCGCTTATCACCTGTATTAATAATCTCTGATGCCGGTGACGTCACCCCTGGGCGTCCTTTGTGGCGCCTATCGATTGGGCTCCGCCGTGGTTGCCCGCCCGGCATGTGAAGACAAACATGCACTTTGGGCGCTAATCTTCCGCACTGTCATATGCAAATAGGCTTATCACCAGCATCTTGAGCAGCAGTTAATGGAGAAAATAATTGTCATCAAGTTGCTAGGAAGGAGCCACAAATGGAGGCTTGCCGGGAGCGGGGGTTTCCAGCCGGGTCTGGGACACGGGGCTTTGGGGGCTCTCGGTAGGGCGAGGGCATGACCCTTGCTGGAAGGACCGACCGAGGGGCAGGTGTCCACGCTGCTTTGAATTAGAATGCCCAAGGGATTTGGGAGGAAGGACCTGGGCTTTGCTACGTAGCCCCTTAATCCTGCTCTTAGCATTGAAGGCTGTGCCCAGCTTTGAGCACTTGCTGTTCTCCGGAGTCACCCGGGTGGGCCTGAAATGTGGGAGCAGGGGAGCAGAGGCTGTTCTGTCTCCCTAAACAGAGGGCCCAGAGGTGTCATCTTGCAGGGGAGGGCTGGGATGCAGGCACAGGCCGTGGGGTCCAGCACCGTGCAGAGCATCCAGGGGTCTAGCCCGGCGCTGTCTCCACGCTGCTCAGCCCCCAGCTCCCTGTTCCCAGAGCTCTTCACGAGTAATGCTTGGTTGCTTTGCTTCCAGAGGCAGAGTCGAAAGAAGCCCTCGAAAGCCCCCAGGTGTCGGAGCAGCCGGAGCCCGGAGAAACTCCACAGGAGACGAACCCATGGGATGGACCAGGTAAAACCCCCTGCTCCCTTGCTGCAAGTCTGACCTTCGCCTCCCAGAGACCCTGCACCCGAGGGTGGGGGGTACAGGGGCAAGCTCCACGTTGTCCAAGCCCCGGATAAGTGCCGTGGACTGTGAAATGGTCTACAGCGGGTTGAGCACCGCTGCTCTAGAGCAATGGAGGTAGGGCAGTGATAGCAGAGTACCAGCCCCAGATGTTCGGCTGATGTCCCTCTGCCTGAAGTAGGGTATTTGTACCCGAAAGCTTGCAAAGAACAATTTTTGCAACTATTTAGTTGGCTTAATAAAAGACAGCACATTTACCCACTTGGAGCCTAACCCCAGATGCTCTAAGGATGGGAAGAGCCAGGGGAGGGGTGGTGCTAGGGATGGGCACAGCTCCTCCTGCTTGGCCAGCCCCTAACAGGAGATGAAGGGCTCTTGTGGAGGGATAGTCCCCTCTGGTCCAGGGGAGAAGGCTGGGTTTTGGCTGGCACCGATCTGTGAAACTCCTCGATGCTGCACAGAGCCGACGGTGCTCTGTGAGGACTCCTCTTTCTTGGTCACATTTGCTCCCTCCGTTGGCACCAAAAGGGCCTGAATCTTGGTGCCCCCGGGCGCGGGCTGGGAGCAGAAGGGGGCCTTCGTGCACCAGGAGCATGGTCAGGGGCTTCCCCACCAAGGCTTGTCCCTCCCACTGTGGCCAGTGCCCAGCGCTCGCGGGTCCCGGCTCAGGCCGCTCACTGGCCTGCGATCCCAGGCAGGCGCGGCGAGGCCTCGATAACATCGGCAACCACAAGAACAAAGTGCGAGCGCTTAGTGATGTTATCAAAACCCCGAGAAGTGTCTGTAGCCTCCTATCGCTGCCTGTCCATCTCGTCAGCGGGGCGTCCAGAGGCTGCGGTGCGGTGCCACTGCGCGCTCCAACCCGTACAGGGCCGTGCGCACTGTCCAGGTCCGTGGTGTGCCTATCACAGGCCATCTAGAAACCCAAAGGAAGGCACTGCCCCTTAGGGCATGGTGTGTAGATGCAAGAGTCCTGCCCCTTGCCTGGGCAGGGCACAAAGGGTGAGGGGCTTGCTGGTGCCTGCAGTGGCTTGGGAGCCGGAGGGAGGTCTGGCTCTGTGTCCCTGGGGCTGGAGACATCTCAGGGTTGGGTGAAGATGCTGCTAGTAGGGACTGCGCAGGGTCTGTGCCTTGTAGCCTCGGACGGGTATCGCCCATCCGTGTCTTGTGGCAGGGCTGTGCCACCGGAAGAGATGGGCTGCTGCGTGTTGCATGAGCAAGGAGGGCTGTGTTACCCGCATGACAAGCCGAAGCCCCACCGATGCTCGATGGCTATTGCTTTGGCTCTGCATGCATGACCGGGTGGGCCTGGCCTGGCCTCCCCTGATGGAGACGTGGCCTCCGGCGGTCGCTCGGGCTGCCCGTTAGCCGGGCCCCCTGTCGCGCGGATGACAGATGAGCCAGACTCCGCTATCGCGGCAGCCTGGGAAACGCCGGGCGCCAAGGCACATGTGCATCTCCCGTGACCCCGGCTCGGCCTCAGCTGGCGAAATACCCACTGCCGAGGGACCCCGGCTCCGTGCCACGAGCCTGGTTCTCTCCTGCCCTCCCCTGCCTTCAAAGCAGACAAGGGTCTGGGGTAATAAGACATCCTGTCCCCTTGTCTGCAGGATCGAGACTCTTAGGGGAGGAGGGACCTCGTCGCCCTCCCCTCGGGCTCCATGCAGTGTCTGTGCATCCCCTTCTCCCCCACGGGGAAGGGAAATGCTCTCCGACTGATATCCCTAGCCCTTCCTGGATGCGCTGGCAGGAAATATCTGCATGGCTTCCCCCTCCCCGCTCCCCTCCTTATCAGCTCTCTCCCTCCCCGCGAGGCCTCTGGCCCAGGAACCAGGGGGAGAGAGGGGGACAGGGCAGGGGGGAGCGTGGCATCACTGCCCCTTCCCCCTAGTCCCTTCCCAGCACGGCCATGCTGCCCGGTGGGGTCTGCTGTGGAGGAGAGGCTGGAAGGCAATGGAGGGGGAAAGAAGCCTCCAAGGTGTGAAACAGCAGTAATGCAGTGTTATATGCCTTAAATGGCTCAGCAAACCTCCCTCCAGGGTCGGACGCCCCCAGCATCACCTGGACCAGCTGCCTGCAAGGCACCGCTACAGCAATGTCCACTCTGGGGGGCACAGGGGTCACCTGGGCTGGGTTGCTCATCGGCTTACGGCTTGTCTGGGGTGGGTGGCAGCGTGTCCTGGGGCTGCCCTGTCCTCCTTCCAAGCTGGCCTGGAGACGGGGAGCATGCTGGGGGTGATGGGCAAGAGATGCCTCCATGCTCGACTCCCCGGTTTGCTGGCTTGGCCTTGCACGGACAATAGCCCCCCCATCCCTTTCCTGCCCTGGCCCCGGGGCCGCGGCATGCCTCGGTGGGGCAGGCGCGCGCCTGGAGCAAGGTGGCAAGCGGTGGCTCCCTGCCCATCCCCCTGCTCCTCGTCGGAGTTAGCTATTTGCATTCTTTATGTAAAAGAGATTTTATTATCGGCGGCTCCCAGCCCATCTCTATTCTGGTAATTGGAGTGATATTAATTTCTGTGTGGCTGGGAGTTGATGGCAGTCCGGCGATGGAGGAGCGATAGGGCGTTCCTTTCACACTAACCGCCGCGATAGCCCGTCTATCAGGCTCTGTGCAGGCACGGCACTTATCAGGAATGGAACTGGCAAAAAGGGAAACTTTGAGCAGCCTGAATTTTCTTTTTATCTGGCAGGATCCGCCATATGTCAGCAATGGCAGCTGCGAAGATGCAGCGCGGAGGGCAGGGGGGGTAGGACGAGGAGGGAGGGAGCCGCACAGCTCCCAGATGCTTTTGTCGGCACCTCGCGCTGCTCAGCTGGTCGGGGTCCGTGCAAACCTCCCGCAGGGGTGGCAGGGCCTGGGGGCCGGTCTCTCCAGTGTGGCCAGTCTCCCCGTGGTCCTAGGAGAGCCTTTTAAGGGTCCCACAGAGGGGGCTATACTGGGTGCCAACAATTCACAAGATAAACCCCGAGGTTTTGAATGAGATCTGAAGTGTCCGAAGCCACCTGCCCCGCTGGGGGGCTCGCGGGGCTCTTTGAAGCAGGAGAATTGCCCTGTAATTTTGCTGCGCTCGGGGGAAATGAATGCAAGCAGAGCTGATGCTTTCCCAGGGGTGGGCTGGTGTCTGATGAGGTGCAAAACTCCTGCTCCAGTGCTCCCAAGCTGGGGCGCTTGCTAGGTCTGAGGGGGTGGCCGGGAAGAGTGGTCCTTCCCTGGCATCTGTGATGGAGCGGGCTTGGGGTGCACTGCAGCGTGAAGCAGGCATCAGTCCTTCTGGGTCGGGGGTGGAGAACCCTGCTTTCTTCATTGGAGTTGCTCTGGGTGCTGAGGATCATGGTGCTTGGGGTCCCTGGGGGCTGCCCTCCAGCTCCACAGGGACCGAGTTAATTTTTCAAAGTACCAGGCCCTTGCTTGGGCAACGCAAGAATAGCCTCGGCAGAAGCAGCTGGTGAACAGGACACCCCTGCCGAAGCCGTGCCCTGTGGCAGGCTGGCGGAGCCCGGCTGGGAGGGGAGAACGGGCCGGTTCCCGCATGCCGGTGGCACGGTTGCTGATCCTTGCCATTGCAGTCATGGCATGGTGACCCTGCCCTAACTCTCTGCTGGGCGGCGTGGCCGGAGGCCTGGCCACTCCCCTGGCTGGCTGGACATGGGGCAAAACAGCTCCACGTCCTGCCATGCACCCTCGGCGGAGAGCCTGCTCCTGGCTTGCTGGGCACACCTCCGTGGAGGCCGCTGGGTACAAGGGTGGCAGAAGGGACCTGTAGAGCTGCAGCTTGTGGCACCTGGCTGATGAGCCACGCGTGTGGCTCAGTGTCCACTGAGCCGTGCTGGCCATCGGCACTTTGAGCCCCCGGATGCTTTGCTTGTACTGTGTAGATGCTCACGTGCTCATGCATGTGCATGTATGCGGGCATGCATGTGTGTGTGTTCACGTGAGTGTTCATGCATGCAGGCATGCATACAGCTTGGCCCCATCCTTGTGTGGCCGTCAAAGCAGTCCTGAGCCCTTTTCTGCTCCTCTGCATGGAGCAGGATCAGAGCATGGGTGGAAGGCTGGGAACAGGCCAGGCTGCCCCTGAGAGGCAAGCGGACACGTGTCTCACGGTCATGACTGCAGGGCCCTGGGGGTCACCTGTGTTCATTCCTCTGCTCCTGCCCCCGGTTCAGCCACGTGCACGCCAGCCCTGGAGGCTGGAAGTGTGCAGGGTTTTAATCTCCGCTCGCAGGTAGCAGCTCTGACCCATGTCCCTCCATCTGCCTGCCCTGGGCCACGTGGCGCCGGGCACAGGCATGGGGAGCCCGCTCCGTGGCGTCTCTGGTGCTCGGCGGCCTGGGCGCTGTGACATGCAACGGGAGCGTATGAGGCAGGGGAGAAGGACTGTTTTTATCTTTGCAATGACCTTGCTGGCGGGAGGGGGCTGGCTGCTTAAAATTCTGATATGCAAATCACTGATAGCTATAATCTATAATCCGCAACTTGGGAGCGTTACAGATGGACGGGGCCATTTAATTTGCCTCCTGCTCCATCGGCTGGCTCAGCCGCCCTGCCCACCGCTCCGGCAGCCCGGGGCCTGGCTGGTGGGGTCTCCTGCCCATCTCTTTGGGGTGATAGTCATTCCAGTTTGGTGGGGGGGAGCAGTGTTGGTCCTGCTAGAGACTCTGGGGTGGGGGGTTTCCAGGTTGATCTGTGCTTTGGCTGATGCTGTCTCCTTTGGCACTGGGGTGTTTGCTGCTCCTTTGAGGTTTGTCCCCCCTCCTCCACATCAGGGGCCCGGCCCCGAGGGCACCATGCTGGAGCATCCTCTCTTTTGGGGGGCTGTAGTTCCTTGTGGCATGCTGGGGTCAAGACCCTGCTTCCTGGAGGCTTTCTCTAGCACCTGGTTGCGGCAGCTATGGGGTGCCCCAGGAACTGGGGTGCCGAGGTGCGTGATCCATGCCTCCTGCCT